TAGATATGATTTTGACAATATATAAGCTTAAAAAGAGTTTGATAAAGAGTTTAGCATATAAAGGAATTTTAACCATTTGAATGGTTACAGATGACTTGATGTCAGTTTATAAAATGTTTTCAAATAGTTTGTTTGATAACACAGTTTTGATGTATAAGAAATCCACTTGTTTGATAGTTATTAATCACATGTGATTGATACAATAACTATAATGTTTTCTACTTGTATTCCCCCCATAAAAGCATTTGAAATCATTTAAAAGATAAGTTAGGGGTATGAACTCACCTGTAGTGAGTGATTTAAATGTAAGATCGATATATGATGCTAAGTGTCAAGTGGAGTCTCGAGCACAAATGGATCCTATTAAGCATATAATGACACATATATGTATATAATTAGTGTATATAACAACTAATCATGATAGGGAACCACCTTATGGACTAGGAAACACTTGGAATGAAGTGTTACAATCACATATGATTGTTCTAAAGGTGTTCACGGCCACACAAGTGTGTGTTTATGGCCTAGATGTGTTAACGGCCATGGTGTTTACGGCCATGGATGTTTACGGCCAAAGATGTTCACGACCAATGATGTTTACGGCCATGGATGTTTACAGCCAAAGATGTTCACGGCCAATGATGTTCACGGCTAATGATGTTCACGGCTAATGATGTTCTTGAGAAGGGTTTACAGCCAAGGGAGAAGTTATGGCCGTAAACTCTTGATGATCATGCTAAAATGGTTGATTCGTGGATGTATTTCAAGAGATTCTAATGGATAACTAGTATATGGAAAGGATACTTACGTTTTGGAAGCTTGAAGGGGTGTTCACAGCCCAAATAACTAGTGTGTGTTCTTGGTGTTCTTGGTGTTCTTGAATATCTAACCCAAAAAGAGATGATTTCAGGGATGAAATCATAAGGTTTTACTAGATTAAGAAAGGTATCAACTAATAAATGGAAGAAACACTTACAAATTTGTCGATACTTAGAAGTGTTCTTGATGATACTTGAGAGAGAAATGAGTGTTCTTGAGTTGGAAGTGTGAGAAGTGAAGAAAAGTGAAGGAATATCATACATAAGGGAAGAGTTCACAACCAACTAAGAACTTACGGCCGTAAGCTCTAGTTTACGGCTGTAAACTCCAAATGATGGAGTTTTCTGGCTTGAATGTTGCACAATGAACTCTAGTAGATACTTCCTAACACTCAATCCTTGAAGGTACTAGGCTTAGAACACTCAAACAGACCCTAAACAATGCTAAAAGCTAGCAGAAACAAGTCTAACTTTTGATTGAATTGAATGGCTTGACAAGATAGAAATTTCGGGTTGTCACATCATCCCCCCGTTAGAGAGAATTTTGTCCCGAAATTAGAGTTTAAGCAATTAAGTAATTACAAATAACTAAGTAAAAAGATGAGGATATTTCAGTTTCATTTGATCCTCGCGCTCCCAAGTGAATTCAGGTCCTCGCTTGGCATTCCAACGAACCTTCATTATCGGGATACGACTTTGCTTCGTTTGCTTGACTTCTCGGTCCATGATCTCTACTGGTTCTTCCACGAAGTTGAGGCTCTCATTGATCTCGATCTCGTCGAGTGGGATTACAAGAGTCTCGTCGGACAGACACTTTTTCAAGTTCGAAACGTGGAAAGTAGGGTGTATGTTACTAAGTTCGTGAGGTAGTTTGAGTTTGTAAGCTACAGGGCCGATTCTAGCGAGAATCTCGAAAGGCCCTACGTATCTTGGATTTAGCTTTCCACGCTTTCCGAAGCATATCAATCCCTTCTAGGGTGAGACCTTCAATAGAACACGGTCATGAACCTGGAATTCCAAAGGTTTCCTTCTCTTGTCTGCATAGCTTTTCTGTCGGTCTCTAGAGGCTTTTAATCGTTAACAAATCTGAACGATCTTCTCTGTCGTTTCCCGTATGATCTCCGGACCTGTGAGAGTGCTGTCAGGAACTCGTCCTTTAGCTAACTGTGTGTCACCCACCTCAGCCCAGCACAGAGGGGATATGCACTTCCGCCCATAGAGGGCTTCAAATGGAGCAACCTTTATGCTCGTGTGATAACTGTTATTGTAGGAGAACTCGACAAGGGGTAAATGAGTACTTCATGCCTTCCCAAAGTCAATCACATAAGCTCGCAACATATCTTCCAAAGTTTGAATAGTCCTCTCACTTTTTCCGTCGGTTTGTGGATGGTAGGCTATACTCATGTCCAGCCTAGTTCCTAGGAAATCTTGTAGCGACTGCCAGAACCTTGAAGTGAATCTACTATCTCTATCAGAGATAATGGATATGGGAACACCATGCAATCATACTATCTCCCTAATGTAAGTTCTCGTCAGTTTCTCCATCTTGTCAGTTTCCTTGATAGGCAGGAAGTGTGCGGACTTTGTTAACCTGTCTACGATCACCCATATGGTATCGAGACCATCCGTTGTCTTGGGAAACTTGGTTATGAAGTCCATTGTGATCCGCTCCCACTTCCATTCCGGTATCTCCGGTTGCTGTAGTAAACCTGAGGGTTTCTGGTATTTGACCTTATCCTTGGCGCAAGTAAGACACTTACTCATGAAGGTAGCAATCTCTGCTTTCATGTTAGGCCACCAGTATAGCTTTTTAAGATCCAGATACATCTTATCTGAACCTGGGTGGACGGAATATCGAGTGTTGTGCGCTTCGGTCATGACCAAGTCTCTGAAACCACCGTGCCTCGGTGTCCAGATCTGATCCATGAGATATAAGGCTCCACCACCCCTGACTTTCAAGTTTTTATCCATCCCTCTCAGGGATTCACCCGCCACATTTTCAGGTTTCAAGGCTTCAAGTTGAGCCTCCTTAATTTGTGTGGACAAGTGTGAATGGATAGTCATAGTCAATGATTTGACTCTACCACTACTAGAAAAACAGCCTTTTACGACGCACAATGTGTGTCGTAAAACGCTCAGACGACGCTCAAATGCGTTTCAAGGAAGGCCCTGTGATAACGAGAGACGACACGCTTTTGCGCGTCGGCTATTTACGACGTGCAATTACGACACGCATTTATGACGCGCGTTTACGACACACATTGCGTGTCAAGGAAGGCCCTGTCATAAAGGAAGATGACACGCATTTGCGTGTCGTAACCTTACGACGCGCCTTTACGACTCGCAATGCGTATCATTAAATCTACTGTCATAAACGAAGATGACACGCATTTGCATGTCATAAATTCCAGCTACCAGTGACTATACACCTTTACGACGTGCATCTACGTACGCATTTACAACATGAATACACATAATTAAAAAACAAATATATACCAAAACATTCAATTTCATTTAAATGTCAAACAAGTTACCTAACATTACATGTCAAACAACACTACATGTCAACACTAATAACACTTAAAAACATGCTTTTTCCTACTTTTAGAGCACCCACTATTCCTATATCAGTAACCAACTTTAGGCCTAATTCCAACCACCTATAAAAGAACAACATTAGAAGTGATTAATGATTTAGTGTTATGGAAATTGATTGAATGATTTAAAAAATTGAAAATGAACCTAGAGAGAACAGGTGTCTGGGCTTTGAAAGCGTGGAGATAATATTAATAATAAGTTGGAAATAATATTAATATTTAATACCTCTCTCTGGGTGATCACCATCGGTCAACCTTCCATCATCCAACATTTGAAGCAAAGTATGTGTAATGCTAGCAAATCCAATATTGAACAAGTTGTATTCATATATTTTATCATAATCACCAAAAACTGTGTAATGCTAGAAAATCCAAATTAAAAGATAGAGATATTCATACCTGTCCCATAAATTGCCCTCCATACACTTTAGCTGATTTTGGAGCTCCTTTTAAGGTGATGTGTTCACCTTCACAAATAAAGACTTGATAACTTGAACATAATGCATGGAAAAAGAAATTGTTCAGAAAACAAAGAAATGATGCAAGTTTTCTAAATATGTCACATACATCCAGTGGGTCCAGGGACAATAAGTGTTCCACATGTGACCATGTCTCAAGGTTCATCAAGTGACTATATTTTTAGGGTAGCATTAAGCCCATCCATGATAACTTTAATATCCACAGGTAAATACTTGATATGCCTCACTTTATGCATATGGAAGTATGATGATATGCCCATCCATGTCTCAAGGTTCATCAAGTTGAACCTTGAGATGTCACATGAAAATGGAAACATTTCCTTGAGTCCATGATTTTCCTATTTTATCATTCTTAAAGGGTATTTTTGACATTGATTGAAAGTAAACACTTGTATTAAATTACAACATACAAAAAACTACAAATTGAGAATCAGACAGATGACATGAAATGAAAATAAAACGTACCTGATGAATGCAGAGTTCATTAAGGTGAATCTGGGCATATGCTCTGTCTTTAGCCAAAGCAGTGATATCACTGTCAAGGTCAAATGCCAAAAAAAACATATTTTTAAGGTTTAACAAAAATGCATGTATATTACAGTGAAGTAAGTAGAGTTTTAAATATTTACTTTCTGCAGCATATATCCAGCAATGAGTCATTCTCATCAACTATAGGAGTTGCACTCAGGAAGCAAGTGATAAAATGTATAACTAAGCTTCTGTAGACAAATAACGAATAGTAATAGTAAGCGAATATTCACCAATGTATTTTAAAAATGATGATTCCCATACATTACAAGTATGTATGTATGTATCTCCCTCCAAACACAATTACCATGCACACAATTCCCCTGTATTTTCCTACATAAAAATAAGCTCTCTCTCTCTCTCTCTCTCTCTCTCTCTCTCTGACTAAGCTACCACTGCTACCACTACCACTACCAGCGCTTCTCTACACCACCAGCCACACATTAAATTTAGATGTGCCCAAAAGCCCCCTCTCTCTCTCTCTCTCTGACTCTTTGTACCCTCCACTCAACTCACCTCACAATTAGAGAAAAATTTGAGCCATCTACTTTACTAGTTTTTTGGGGATTTTAAGGATCCTAGGCAGCAGGCAGAATCACACCCTGCCACATCACAAGTAGTAACAAAAAGAAAACAAAGGAAGGAATGCTAAGCATTCGCTGTCTCTCTCTTTCTTTTTGAGCAGCTGCTTCTTCTGCATATAGATCCTTGTTGTCCTGTTGTGCACAAACAAACCATCCATCATATCATAATTCATATATTTATATTTATATTTATATAACATTACTTGTGCTGAAAAACTCTTTGGACTACACAAGGAAATCCTGTATGTGGTTCTTAAATGTAGAAAGGTCGGATCTCGACTCAAACAGTCCATTCACAAATTTCGCAACCTGAAAGAATTACATTACATCCATCCATCAGATATCTGAATATAACATAAATAAACAAACGTCACTTGTAGTTTTAGTTTTTATACCTCAGATGTTGGAATATTTGGAAAAGAGGCACCAAGAAGCTTAATAGTTTACTCTCTCACAAGCATCCCGTTGTTTGGATACGGATACGAAACAGTTGACGCGTCCTACATAGGCTCAGTCAATGACCCAGATTCCACCTACAATTGATTGCCATGTCAGCATATATCATACTCCTATATACTTGAATATGATTCAAATAAAAAGTAGACTAGAGATGATATACAAACTATAAGTTGAAACTTGTGAATACAACCTTGTACACCAAGGTTTAATCAGAATTGCACTCTGGTAAGAAGGGAACAGAAAAAAGAGCAGAGCAAAATAGAAACAGTGAACAGGGAAGAATGAAACGTGAACAGGGGAAGGAACGGTTTTGAGAAAATCACTTGTTCACCAAGCTTTATTAGAAACAAGAACGTAAAAACTAAAACTAAAATACTTATACTTATCCCCCTATATATACTAAAAGAGCTAGACTCCTAAAACAACTCAAAAACATTTAAAAAACTAAATATTCCAAAAATACCCTGGGACTATTTTTGTCCCAGAATCTGAATTAAGCCAACACATACCAGGCAGAATAAGTGCTGCAGCACCAACACATGCAACTTAAATCCCAGTTTATGGAAAGTGTCGGTCAGCACAACAAATATTTCTTGCACAATCAGCACAAAATAAGACCGGTAGAATTGACTACAAAACTCCGAGTGAAGTACGAATCTCAACGAATGATTTGTTCACAGAAGATGACTATCAAAAGCACATTACACATATAATAAAAAAGAAGCAAAAAGTATGATTATACATTTTTTTAAAATATAATAATACTAAATAGTATAACTTACAGGTATACGTGTGCGTTGAAGAGTTACTCTTCCAATACGTATATCAGACCGCAAGTCCTGCAGATGTTTAATATATGATATTAATAAGAGTAACTAGATTTTCTGGTATCAATATATTATATATCTCATGTTATAAGAAGAGAAACCTGAATATCAGGTTTATCAACAGGAAACAAAGTCTCAGCATCTGAAATTATATGGAGTTTGGAAAAGGGAAGAACTCACGAGTCACACTCACATTCCCCTGGATTGAGTTGTCTCTGTGGTGGGCTTGTATGGCACTGTATTCGCTTGCCAATCCCGGACTCCCGCCTCTGATTCCCTTCCTTGTATTCGATTTACTGACCGGACCCTCAGCTCCGGAAATAACCATTCCATTTGTAACGCCACTTATCTATTGCTCAATCTCATTCATCTGCTTAATCAAATCACTAGCAAACGTAACCCCTGCTATTTTCCTCCCTCTCACTATCACTAAAAGACATTTTTGTCCCTTGAAAACGAACCCCTGCTAATACCAATTCCCTGTTTTCCAGAAGTTGCTTGCAAAAACAAAATATGTCAATTTTGTAGATTTTTCTACAATACTTTAATAGGAAAAAGCAGAAGTGTAATAAGCAAATGCATGTCCTTAGGAATATACAAAGGCTATGGAAATTATATTAGTGACAACATTAATAACTTTACCTGCATTTGAAGAACATCTGGAGGTGGCATCTTTTTTATGTGAGGGGTTTGTCCAAAGTAAGCAACATGTGAATGTCAGATTACAGGAGTAATTTTAACATTTGCAAGTTCCACCATCAGAGTGACCTTCCCTACAATGACAAAAAAACTGGTTCAGAAGACAGTTGACTTTTATGGTCAAACATGTTACAACATTAATATATAAATACCTTAACCTCTCACAAAGACGAACCAAAGCATCTGAACCAGTTCGAAATGCAACATCTTCAATCATAGAAGCATTCCATGGTGTCACACAGTCTGCAATTTTTTTTTTTTAAAGTTCAAATGAGATTTATTTTCTTAATCAAAATATTATAGTTCAATACATATCGATTGAAGGCAAGCGGGCAACAACCTGCGCCGCTAGCCCTTTCTGGATGGCAAAACCAATTCTTTTGAAAACAACATTTGTGGATCTAGGAGATATGACATTAGAATGCATGACCCGTTGGACTCTATTAAGGAGCTCCACCGCCTCTGGTGCGAGAAAACCAAATGTATTGAATGCAAAAGGAACAAACACATGTTGATTTTCTATACATGCATTCTCGTGCTTTACCACTTTGCATGCAACGGCTTTCAAAGCGGCATGCCCATCTGTGAAACCCCCGCTCCCCAAACCAACGAGAGGAGAGACCCCAATAAGATCCATGCACGCATGCTTCCCTCCTATCAATCCAAAGACCAAAATGTCAGCCGGTCTAAGTGTGGCCCCACCTGCAATTTGAAACTCACACAACTCTTTCAATGAACACGCATCTGTTAATACAGCAGAGTGGCCCCCACCAGCTGCCAGCTTCCTTACTTCCCCCAAACACCTGTTTCGATTATTCATCAGTCAAACCTTCAAGTCAAAGGAGAGAGAGAGAAAGAGAGATATACCAATCAATTGGAGATGGGTACCAAGCATAAGTGCATTTCTGGTTAGCTGCTTGGCCATAACTGTTATAACCCCAACCATGGATTCTACCATCTTGTGTGCAGATAAGTTTGTGAGAATGTCCACAAGCAACCTGTTTTACACCAAATGGAAGGACCAAAACCGGAATGTTCCGAAACATGGTTACAGAGTCGCATGAAAAGATTCCATTTTGTGGGCCCAACCCGAGTTGACCAGATTGACCACCACCCCAAGCGTATAAACCTCCTTTTGAAGTCAAAGCACATGACATTTAAATAAATATCAGATAAGCATTTAGAGGAAATATTAAACATACAAATAGAGTGTTTTTTTGTTCTTTTTTTATAAGATAGAAACGTAAAAAGTACCAAGTTATTATCCGTTTAATTTATAGTATTAGTAGTATTAAAATTTAAAATTGTTATTGTGTTTCAAAGTATTAAAAAAAAGTGCAAGATATTCAAATAAGTTCAAAACATAAAAATAAATCCAAAATAAAATATAAATTTAATTTTTATAATGTAATATTACAAGTAACAAATATTACACTCAAAATGTTATTATGAAATTAAACAAACTTAAAATACATAATATTTACAGTTAGTTGACCAAATTTGGTGTTCTATTATTTGCTAAGACCAAAATGGTATCAGTTTGTAGAGATTTAACACTCTAGAACCACAAACATAACTCGTCACATATAAACGACCTCCAGTTGCATCACTCTTCACAACCTTTGTTATTGATGTCTTAGAAATCCTAGTTAGCCCAAGCTTAGGGATAGATAGACCGTTTTACAGACATGTCCAATTAAACTATAGGCTACGAATGTTACAGAATTAGCTTAGTTACTAGACTCGATTATTAATTTCAGTTAATTCTCAGTTGGTGTTTTATTTTCACTCAATATCATATTATCTCACTATGAATATATTGGTTTTTCATTTTAACAAATTCATTAAACATTTCAAATAATGATTCAAGATTATCTGAATGAGAAGAGCAATACTATCCTAGTTGAGTTAATCAAGCATTGTGCCAAGAAACAGAAACACTAGATATAAAAATGAAGAAACCCTAGTCAATGTAACTCTTAAGATTAAGAGACACTAATTGATTTAGGCCATAAAATTAACAAAGAAGTTGTGCTAGCATCCATGCTTGTACAAGGAGATTAGAGAACTAACCAGTGAGTGCATACTCAGGAGCTAAGAAACTGATGGTGCCTGCTACACGTGTATGCAAAGAATCAAGAAAAGAAACATAAAAAAAAGAACTTAATTAATCGACTAACAAGAAGACTTACTGGATCAGTGATTTTATCTATATCAAAATTGATTTATTTCAACCTTTTACAAAGTCAAAAGCATCAAAACAAAATAAAACCCACCGATATTAGAATATGAATGAATTAGGGCTCACCCGAATATGAGATCTATCCATTCATGTAAATGTGCAGAGACATGCTCACTCTCAAGATCCATGTGATGCTTATGCACAAAATCAATAGGGTTTTCGGCCCAAGGAGGAAGCTAAACACAATCGGACGTCATCGATGGAAAAGTGCAGAGTCTCTCTTTCTCTCTCCGCCTTCACCCGCGTCTACAGTCTTCCTGAGTTTTGAGTACACACAAATCGATTGAACATCGATGGTCGGCGTGAGCGACGATTGAACATCGATAAAGACTTACATAACAGATGAACCTTCGATTAAACCTTCGATAAAGACTTGAAGATAAAGACTTATAGTTGTGGCGATGGTCGACGATTGAACATCGATGGTCGGCGTGAGCGGGAGTCGAGCAAAACCAGCGAATCGATTGAACAGGGAGAACATATTGAGGGAGGGTTATGTGATACGAACTCGAAACCCTACTTCAAGCAATAGTCGATTTTGTGGCCCTATGAATGTAAAGTGTTCGATATCTTGTGAGAAATGAAGCGATAGAGATCGATCTATGGAGGATGTGGGTTGTTCTTTGAGGGTTGAAAAAAACCCTAGTTTCCTAGACTTTGTGAGGACGAGGTTTTCTACTTTTTAGATTCCTGTAAGGTATTAAGGAGTGGCGGAGAAGCGGATCGGAGAGAAGAGAGAATGAGGGAGAGGGGAGAGTAGACTGCGAAGATGAAAGATAGAAAGAAGGTAGAAGACGGGTTTTCAAAATTTTGGGGATTTTATTTCCCCCTCTGCTAAACGCGCGTTTCATTAAAATTATAAAGCGACAGGTATAGACGACGCGCGTTTAAAATAAAGCGCCCTCCGTGTTTTTAATTTCTTTTCTAGAGACACTAATTTAAGGGAACACAATAATGCGTGACATAAATCCTTAAACTTTTTGAAGAGATGACACTTTTTTAATGTCACTCTCTTTTGCGTAACATAAATCAGTGAGTGTCGTGGTTTGCGCGTCGTAAAAGGGTCTTTTTCTTGTAGTGTACGACCAGAGTATTCTTTCCGGCTTAGGGCGTCAGCTACTACGTTGGCTTTACCGGGATGATAACGAATTTTGCATTCGTAGTCATTGAGTAGTTCGACCCACCGTCGTTGTCTCATATTGAGCTCCTTCTGGTCGAATATATGTTGAAGGCTCTCGTGGTCTGTAAAGATAGTGCTCTTTGTACCATACAGGTAGTGTCTCCAGATCTTCAGAGCAAATACCACTGCTCTTAACTCAAGATCGTGTGTGGTGTAGTTGACTTCGTGTGTTTTTAGCTGTCTCGAGGCATAGGCGATGACCTTACCTCGTTGCATAAGAACACATCCAAGCCCTTGGTTGGATGCATCACAATAAACCACGAAGTCTTCTATCCCTTCTGGGAGGGATAGTATCGGTGCGCTGCATAAGGCTCGCTTTAGCGTCTGAAACGCTTTTTCTTGTTTCTCTTCCCAGTCAAAGGCCACACCTTTCTGGGTCAATGTTGTAAGCGGTTTCGCGATCCTAGAGAAGTTCTGAATGAACCTGAGGTAGTAGCCAGCGAGGCCTAGAAATTGATGAATTTCTGTAGGCGTCTTCAGTGCTGACCTGTTCTCAATGGCCTTGATTTTGGAAGGGTCCACATGAATTCCCTCTTCACTAACAACGTGACCCAAGAATTTGACTCTTCGAATCCAAAATTCGCACTTAGAGAACTTCGCGTAGAGCTTCTCTGATCGTAATGTTTCTAAGACTTGACGTAGATGTTGACTATGCTCCTCCTTACTTCGAGAGTAGATAAGTATGTCATCGATGAATACAATGAAGAACTGATCCAAGTAAGGACGACACACGCTATTCATTAAGTCCATGACTACTGCGGGTGCATTGGTCAATCCGTATGGCATCACTACAAACTCGTAGTGTCCATAACGAGTTCGGAAGGTTGTTTTGGGAACATCCTCCTCTAACACTCGTAACTGGTGATACCCGGATCTCAGGTCAATCTTTGAAAAGTAATTCGCCCCTTGCAGTTGGTCGAAAAAATCATCTATGCGAGGTAGAGGGTAACAATTTTTGACGGTAAGCTTGTTCAGTTCTCTGTAGTCGATGCACATACGGAACGATCTGTGTTTCTTCTTTACGAACAAGAGCGGTGCTCCCCAGGGTGAGAACCTTGGTCTAATATAGCCCTTGGTGAGCAGTTCGTTAAGTTGACCGGATAGCTCCTGCATCTCAGCCGGTGCTAGACGATATGGTGATTTGGCTACTGGGGTAGCCCCTGGAACTAAGTCGATTCTGAACTCGACTTGACGCTGTGGTGGTAATCCTGGTAGTTCTTCTGGAAAGATGTCAGGAAAGTCGCGTACCTCTGGGATGTTCTTTATGTCTTTCGTCTCTTGGCTCATATTGACAACATGAGCAAGGAATGTGTGACATTCCTTTCGTAAGTACTTCTGGGCTTGTATACACGAGATGATACGAAGGTTTGTGTCGGGTTTGTCGCCATAGATAACTAGAGTTTCGTTAGACGGTAGATTAAGGCGAATGGCCTTCTCGTAACACATGATGTCGGCACGATGAAGACTCAACCAATCCATGTCGATAATGACGTCGATACTTTTAATTGAGACCGGCATGAGGTCGATTGGAAATGAATGGCTATCTAAAGTTAGAGTACATCCTATGTATATATTGCTAGTGATCTCAGCTTTTCCATTAACCATTTCTACAGTGAATGGTTCTTTCAGTGCACATGGTTTTTGTTTAAGTAAGTGAGCAAATTTCTGGTTCACGAAACTCCTCTCCGCTCCACTATCAAACAGTATGCATGCATAAGAGTTATCGAGGAGAAACGTACCAACGATTACTGTAGGGTCGGCTACTGCTTCCTCGTGGCCTATAGCCAAAACTCTTCCTACGCCACCTGTGTTCCCTGCCTTCGGGTAGTTTCTTTTGTAGTGGCCCACCTCGCCACATCCGTAGCAAGCTTGGCCCACACCAACGCCTGGGACTTGGTTGATCGGCCTTGCCGGAGACTTGCAGAAACGGGCAGTGTGCCCTTTCTTGTTGCAGTTAGCGCACTGCATTTCCCGGCAGGGTCCATTATGGTGGAAGCTGCACTTGGGCAAGCTCCCAACATACTGCTTCATCGGCGCAGTAGCTGAAACATCCCTAAATACGACCCAAAAATTTTTTGTTTTAATATTACTAAAAATCACATCATCGAATGTCATACATACTAAGAACCATAGAATGAGTAACTCAAAAGTCAAGTAATAGTGTCAAAACAAATACTGTATCAATCATATCAAAATATCTGAATAAAACTCCCAGGATAAAACTGAAGTTGTGGTGTGTACCATGCCATCATCCCGAGCTCTTCCCCTTACTTGCGGAAGTACCTGAAACCAAAAACTGAAACTGTAAGCACAAAGCTTAGTGAGTTCCCCCAAACTACCACATACCATACAATGACATATAAGCAAATACTGGGCCCCGCCCACTGCATCGGGCCCCGCCCGGCATCGGACCGAAGTCTGGAACTAGCTTGGGCCCAGCCCACTACATCGGTCCCCGCCCGGCATCGGACCGAAGTCCGGAACTAGCTTGGGCCCCGTCCACTACATCGGGCCCCGCCCGGCATCGGACCAAAGTCCGGAACTAGCTTGGGCCCCACCCACTACATCGGGCCCCGCCCGGCATCGGACCAAGGTCCGGAACATATAGCACATAACAGAATCGAACATAACATGCATGAATCACGAAGACAACAAGCATACATATCTACTTCTCGGGACTCTCCCGGTATCGGACCGAAGTCCGGAACTACTATCTAAACGGGTCGGCATTGAGGCCGTAGACCCGTTACTACTTCAAGGAAACTCACCTCGTAACGCTGGCTGCCGAGGTGCTAAATCTGAGACGGTCTGACTGCTGCTCCGGAACTCCCCGGCTACAAATCCCATAAACACTAAATCAAATACTGATAACTAATCTCAGGGTAGAATGACTATTTCACCCCCGATCAAAGCCAACTCCCGGGTCAAAGTCAACTTCTTGGTCAAAGCCAACTTCCAGTTGACCGGACTCGCCGAGTTGGGCCGCCAACTCGCCGAGTCCCTTTCATCCGTTCTAGTCCTCTACTCGCTTTTACTTGTCGAGTTGGGCGAAGACTCGACGAGTTCTTATTCGATACATACATCGAGTCTAACTTCATCCGACTCGCCGAGTTGTATGAACAACTCGTCAAGTTCTCCTTCATCATATGAACACGTCCAGACTGCGACTCGCCGAGTCGCAAGAACAGCTCGTCGAGCCTGAAGAACAACTCGCCGAGTTGAAGAACAACTCGCCGAGTCCCAAGCATGCTATTACTATACAATTGGTTCTAATCGATTTCAGTGCTTCCAAATCATAGATCTGAGCTTCTAGGACAGGTTTTACACGTAAAGTTTCCAACTTTACGTGCATGCACAAGGGTATGAGGCTAAAATACCCAAAATCATCAAGTACCAAGCACCTAGGTTTGGAACAAGGCCATGAGTGCATAAAGGTGGCTATAATGAGCTCCTGGAGTTCAATAAAGTCCAGATCTAAGGTTTCCATCCAAAGGAAAGTCCATATCTCAAGTTTTGAATCATAAAAGGCTCCAAAGAAGACATAACAAGCATAAAAGAAGTTTTAATGGAGGAATACACAAGGTAATAACTTCATTACCTGAATGAGAAACAGATGGAAGCTAACTCCTGGATCTCCTTTCTCTTCTATGGACCTTCTTTCCTTCCTTCTCTTCCAAAGCTTCCAAACTAGCACAAACACACTCAAACTCAACAATGGGGGCTAGGGTTTACATGGGAAATGTTCTAATGGTGCTGGAGGCTGGGGTGGGAGGCTATAATGACGTTTAAATAGGGTACAAACCCTTGAAATTAGGGCTTCATCCAGACAGGCAGACTTGCCGAGTCCCAACATATGGACTCGTCGAGTAGCCAACTTAAATTGCAAGCTCATCCCGCTTCTACTCGACGAGTCGGGCTACAAACTCGTCGAGTACCCCTTAAGAAATGAAGATACTTAATTAAATTTACATACCAGAAATGGGGCGTTACAACTCTCCCCCACTTATCTTAGACTTCGTCCTCGAAGTCTGCTGCCGCTGAATCCGAAAATAACTCAGGATAATGCTCCCTCATCTCCCCTCGGTCTCCCACGTCCACTGTGAACCCTTTTGATGCTGCCACTGCACCTTCACTAACTGAACCACCTTATTCCTCAAGGTCTTCGTCTTCCGATCTAAGATCGCAACTGGTCTCTCGATATAATTCAGGTTGCTATCAACCTGAATATCCTCTAAGGGTACAACTGTTGACTCGTCCACCAAACACTTCCTCAACTGAGAAACATGGAAAGTGTTGTGGAT